AAGTAGATCGATACATTGATAAATATATCGAGGAGAACTTCTTAGACTTTGCATTTGCAAGTGGTTCTATTTTATTTTTCGCAGCTGTGTATACAAATATATATAAAACTATACTTTTAATCACAGTAGCTTTGATTTTAATTAATTAATGAAAAGGCTACTTTCTTAAAAAAAAAGAAAGTAATACATTTAAGTATTTGTATTATATAAGCTTTATAATAATATTAATAAAACAAAATTTAAGAAATAAAAAAAAATGTCTATCATTGCGCATCGACATATGTTTTCTGGGCGCGAAAATATGGCGCACAATTAGCGTCAAATCACATTAGCTGGATCGCAAGCTTCGTTATTTTTTACAGATTTAAGATAATTCGATCTTAAGTTGGAATTGCCTACAACATCGATACCATCATTACCATCAGCGATACACGGCAGATGCATTACACCCTGACAACTATTAAACTCATGATCATCATTAAGTACTAATCCTGTACTCGATAACTTTGGTTTAAACTTACTTAAGAACTCCAATATCTTTAGATGATAAAATACTCCCTCGTTATCTATAGCATAAAACTGGGTAAAATCAACATTCGCATGGAAAGACACACCTTTGTTTCCTACAAATGTTATACATGCCAGCAGCTCCGACAACTTAGCGTGTCCCTTTTTCCCCCTCCAAAGTAATGATTTACTTTTCCCAGCTTCTAGCTGCTTATTAATACATTCTGACGGGTTTGACACAGTAACCGGTTGTTTGAGATCTTTTGGTATACCTGTCCATGGGGACGCATCGACTTCTTCGCGACCTTTTGGCAAGAACTGTGAAAAATGCAGATCCCGATTATATCGCCTGCTCCGACATTTGGAGGTCATTCGATTGCTAAGAATATAGTTCACGTCCCAAAAACACAATCGTTCTGCGCAACTAACAAGAATCTGTTTGCATGGTGAGAAGAGCAGTTTAATTGTGTGACAGGGCTCATGTCCTTGTGATATGGTAAAAATAAATTGCAAACGATTTTTATCATATATAAAAATCTGAAATTAAGTAAATTTTAATGTATTTCTAGTTAACGTATGAGTATATTATTTTTCGTTTACCTTAATTTGTCCATTTTTAAAGCCAATTGCAACTAATTGACCATCATGTGTGACTGTCAAGTCATTAATTATATATTGACTTCTTATAGTTTCTTCGCAGAGAGATTTGTAGTTTAACTTTTGGCCTGTACTATTAACTTCATAAATCTGTTAAGTATTGTTTTTAGTTCTTTCACTTTTTTCATTGGAAGTATTGTCAATTTACCTTAACAGTGCGATTTATAAAGGCTAAATAAAGTCGGTGTTCCTTCATATCAAATCCAACCAACCGATCATAAGATCCAGCAAAATCGTGTCTCTGTTGAGGGCTATACAAATCTATGTACTATTACATGTGTTGAAAAATAAAGAATAAGTCAAATATTTTAAGAATTTCAAAATTTTTCAGTACTTACAATCACACCATTCTCTGTAAAAATAAGAAGAAAATGCTCGTTCAAAAGTCGAGCAGACATTGTATATTTCGAAAGCTTTATCGGCCAAATTGATAAGGACGCTGTATTCATCTCTAATTTTGATAAGTTGAAAATTGAAGTAGCGTACTTAGATGATGTCTTAGATGATGTAATTAAAATTGTTGAGTTAATCATATTTAGATAATCAACTTGATCGGTCGAATACTCTTGCAGCAGCCTTTTGTTTTTGCTTATGTTAAAGATAACTCCATTACTACAACCAGCAATAATATCGTTATTTTTACAAATACATAAAGCGGTTATATGACTATTCCGATCCATCTGAGGTGTTGTAATCATTGACCAGTGGGATTCATCGTCTTTTATTTGAATTTTGTGAATACGTGACTTGGAATCAACGGCTAATAGTGTATCATTATTACATTTTATCAAAAGCGGGCGCAGGTATACATTAGGCTCAATATAGGATTGTAGATCAAACGTTGTAATATTTGAATAACCACATTCACTTTTAGCCTTATGAGTCCAGCTTATAGATTGATTCTCATTGGCTGGAATATTTCGTAAGGTATGCAAATGTAATATACTTTTACCGGCTGCTCCGCATAAAATAATATATTTTAGTGTTGGGCTATTTAAATCATAGATATCGATACAGATAATATGTTCACTGATGTTCCTTCGCAACACAGAATCAAAAAGTTTCAAGTCATATACAATAAGACCTTGAACAGTTCCAAGAACTAAATATCGCCCATCTTTGGATAATTTGCCACATGTAATAGATACGGCCTCCATATCAGTGAAGAGCAGTGGCTTTTTATCTATGGTACAAATATTGTCAGAATGCTTGAATCGAAGTTGCCAAACGCGCGATTTTAGTATTAACAATAACATTGTGTAATCTCCATTTTTATCTATATATGTTTCCATTGTGAGCGCTTCTTCATTTTCGAATTTATGTTCTGTTTCTTTCGAGCCACGGCGCAGGTCCCAAACAGTTAATGTACAGTCAACTGTGCATAGCACATAAAATCGATCCATTACTTTTGCGAAACATCGTAACTTTCGCTGATGGGTTTTTAAAATTGGTGTATGTGATTGCTTGAATTTTTCTTCCTTGATTTCCCAGTCGCATATGCAAATATCTCCGTTATTAAAAGCCAAATGTAATTGTATAAAGATATTATCGTGTTCATCGTCTTTCTCTTCAAGAAAAAATGAACATATTTGTTGATCCGCAGAAGTATTAGTCAAACGTTGAACGTCATTATTAACAAACTTCATATTGCAAAATATTTTCGAGTGTTTGACGGCTTGGCCAAGCCGTGGCCTTGCAGGTGAGTCGGTGTTGTGTCGACGAAGAAGGTGCTGCAGTGACAAAAGTTTTAAGCTTCCGTTGCTGTACAGCGTTAACAGATGTTTGTGCTTGTTGAATACACGCATATCTACTATGTCATACACATCATTGTCATCGCTAAGCAAATAGGT